TAAACTCAGATGGATTCAGGGATTTGGCAGTTGGAGCACCTTTGGAGAATAATGGTGAAGGCAGCATCTACATATTTAATGGCGAAGGAGGAGGAAGAATCAGTCCTACCTACTCACAGGTACACAACATCAAAGAACTCACGAGGATGACTAAACTAATCTGTAATGTAAAGTCATTTTCTGCAGTTTGAATATCAAATATTTTCATGTACACAGAGAATTACTGGCTCTGAGGTCCAGTCAGGACTGAAGTTCTTTGGCCTGACAATCAGTCAGTCATCTTTTGACCACAGTGGTGACGGACTGCCTGACTTAGCGGTGGGCTCAAAGGGCAAAGTTATTTTATTGAGGTAAGTCCAAGACAGTCCAATCATGCATTATTAATGTCCATGTTTAATTCTATTAACTATTTCTGTTAAATAAAAGAAATGAATGCCCCACCGGTTAAAGGTTTAGAATGAATTCCATGAATAATTTTTTTAATTATTACAATAATTTATGACAATTCTAGACACTTTGATATAAACTATTAAATAAAAACAAATTATCTTTACTTTCAAAAATGAGTTTGCATGATCAAAAACCTTTAAGCAGTAGTGGTTTGTAAAAAATGCAGTGTGGTATTTTCCTGTGATGTTCATTTCCAGATCAAGACCCATAGTAATGGTGAAAGCTGAGGTGTCATTCAACCCAAACCAAATCCCTACTCAGAATGAAGGCTGTTCAAAACCATTGGAGAACACAGCTACAGTCTGCTTCACCATGAGCAGAGTGTCTGCAGTCCACACAGGTTCATCATTCTACTCTACATCATTCAACAACAAAGCCACTGCCCATCATTTGTAGCATTGAATCCAAACTGTGTTTTATTCCAGCTCAAGCAGTGATTAATTATACTATAACACTGGATGCCACACGTAAACCTCCAAACAACCGAGCTTATGTCAGTGGGAAACAACAAGAACGATCTGGATCAGTAATTGTGGTCTTAAGAAGACAACAGTGTTCAACTCTAAGGTTACTTATTGAGGTAAAAATCTAATAATATCAGGAAAAACAACAAACAAACAAAAAAAAACCCAATGCAAACAATCAAAAGTTCAGTTCAGAGAGTCCTACAACACTGAATACAAACCAAATTGCTCTTTTTTTGCAGGCCTGTCCAGAAGATGCTCTTAGTGCTCTTTCCAATGAACTCAAATTCACGTTTAATGGTTTGTCCATCAACAGAAATCCCAGACCAAGTCTTTCCTCACAGGCTCAAACAACAACCATTTATCCTGTAAGTAATATTTAAACACAGTGTATTAACAAACAATTGGGCCAAGAAAACAACTTAAGTCTTTCCCTCGTATTAATTAATTAATTTAATTATTGACATGAAATTGACCATTAAACTCAGTTAAAGTGTCAGTTCTAAGTAATCCAGGCCACTGAACGTCTTTTTAGTTCCAGAAAAAATTTCTGTCATCCAAAAGGATTTACAGCATCTGATGGGGAAAACAAAGACTAAAGGCCTTTACAAACTGAACATGTAAAATCCATGCAAACATTTTGTGCATTAAAACATTTTTCGAAATCACTGATTCTTAATGTAGATGTTCACGGCGACCTTTTGTTGGACAAATTTGCAGCTTTTATTTTATTTTAAATCAAGCTCAATATCTTGGGTGTAAATACAAAGATGTAACTAACAGTTGTTTTTTGAATACAAATGTTGTGCAAAAAACACATTCCTTTTTTATAATGCGCTCCCTATATAATGGCCTTAAGAGTGAAACAAAGTTTGAAACAAAGAGTGGGTCAAGGTGTTATTCCTGTAAGAGTCACTAGCCCACCAGCTATCATGTGAGCTAAGGCAGCGGTCCCCTACCTTTCTTGCGCCACAGACCAGTTAATGTGTGACAATATTTTCATGGACCGGCCTTTAAGGTGTCGCGGATGAAAAGAACAAAGTAAACAAAGTAGTCCAACATCGCAAGATTAGCTGGATTTAAGCAGACTTCAAAGAATTATAACAAGAATAAGTGATCAGCTGTTGTATTTCCAGCTCTCTATGTCCACCAAGGAGCACAGTAAAAGGCTTTAATGTTTAAGTAATCATTTTATTTCCCTTCTGCCACCAGAAAGAAAATTACTATTGGATATTAATGTATGGCTAATTGTACTACCAGTCAAAGACTAATGCAGTAGTAACAAAAAGCAATTAAAAAAGAGCTCAAAATACACAATTCTTAACTTAGAATGACAGCTTGTGTCTGAGATCAAAGTTGTCCAGATGTGAATCAAGAATATTATCAGAAATTGTTTTCTTCCGTGCAAAAAACCTCCACGAGATGGTAGAATGAAAAAAATTGGTTGTTGGATTCCCTAATCCAACAACCAATTTGTGTGCTAATTGGAATAAGTCATTCATCATTTAAATATGTTTTCCAAAATGCTCTCTTCCACAGTTAGGGTTTGAGATCAACTGTGGCACTGACAACAAATGTGTTGATAACCTTGAAAGTGGATTTTAACTTCACCAGGTGAGGTCATGTAATAAAGACTTTGTTTGGTCTGTTTCCTTTTCCTTTTTCTCATCCTCCTTTATACTCTGCAGATCCTCAGAGGTTAAAGTGGGCATTGATGAGCTTTTAGATGTCACAGTCACAGTGGAGAACAGAGGAGAAAACTCCTACAACAGTCGTGTTATTCTCACGTACCCAGCTGGACTCTCCTACAGGAAGTTCACCATTCAGCAGGTAAGGCATCAGGATCAAGTCTGTATCAGTTCATCACTGATCTGCTGCTCTTCCAATACATCCAGCAGTAATTTTATTTTTATAATAAAGGGAAGAATTGGGTGCAACTCTTTGGACAGTGAAGATGGTTTATCACGAGGAAGGACAGACTGCACTATCCACAAACCAATTTTCAAGAGCAAAACTAAGGTGTTTTTGCTTAGAATATCTTTCTCTCACTTCTTTATAGTTTTGTTTACAGCAAAAAGAGATGACACAATTTGATATGTCTCCTCCATTCAATTAAGGCTTCCTTCATTGTCTCCTATGGGATTGACACCAACAGTCAACTTGAGAGGAAGCTCTTTGTCACTGCAAATGCCACCAGGTACTGTTCCTTTGGTATATTTTTGTATAGTCCCACAGATAAAATATGAATCATTTCACTTCTTCATTTCAGTGGAAATCAGGAGCATGCCACTACAAATGAACTCTATAAAAATAAATCGATTGATGTGAGATATAGCATTTTTATGACATTTGAAAGGTATGGGTTCTTCCACTTGAAATAAAAAGCATCGTTTAGAAATTAACAAATGTTGTATTACATGGTATTTATTTAATTTTTTAAATATGTCTGTTTAGCTCTCTCAGCTACAACAATTTCACATTTGGGAGGAGTGATTTGCAGAAACCAGTCCAGCAATCAATTAAGGTCAAAATATAAGTTCTGTATAAATCTATATATGTGTATTTATATGTTCTGTATAATCTAAATCTAATTGTAATGCTTGGTTGTCCTTTTCTTTATCAGATTACAAATGCTATCAGAGCCCTTAATTTCACTGTGGTGATCAGGATTCCAGTGAAGCTTGGTAAAAAAGACATTTGGGTGAATTTGATCAGTCTACAGGTATTGTGCAAAAGTCTTGAGTCACCCATCATTTCTAAATGGATGAATGGATGTGGTATAATTGGGACAAAACCAAGCATACCTGAATTAAATGTATTTCAGATTGCAGACTGTCAGAGAGGAATTGACGAAGAACCACCTGTCAAAACTTTTGTTTCTCAGATCAGAAAAAATAAGGTGGTTGTAAGTATACCTCTGCACTGGAGCTTTTGAAATTCAACCTCTTTTAGATTTTAACATTCACCTCACCTATCTCAAATTCAGCTATCACAGTTTTTGTTGGATTCAGTCTTGTTTAAATCATTCTCAGGACTGCTCTGTAGCCAAGTGCAGAGTGTTCAAGTGCAACACTTTCATGGGAATACGGGAGAGTAGGATGTATGAAATCTCTGCCAACCTCAGTTCAGGATGGATAGAGCAGGTAATGGATGGGTAGTTTATGTTAAATTAATGTGTTTTGGATTGTTTGCTAAATGTTTAGATACATAACTATTTACCTGTTAAATCAAACAATATCTAATTTAGGGTCAACTCGTGATGTATTTTTTTCCCTTAGATTGGGCTTCAGTCTGCCAAATTCCTCTTGACCAGCACTGCCAGTCTGGAGTATGACAAAAACCAGTACATCTACTTTTCAGCAGGGTCTGACAACAATCCTCCTGTTCACAAGGTGATTATACAATATTTTCTTTTGTTTGGCATATTAAGAGCTTTAATTTTATTCACATTCTGTCACTTCATCTCGTCAGATTGAGGCAGAGTAGAAGTGTATCCTAAGCCTGAATTTCACCAAAGCGATCATTGGAGGATCCCTGGGAGGGTTGGCTTTTCTGAGCTTTACTCACTCGCTGGCCTGTATAAGGTGAAAGACTCTTTTATACTTTTTTCAATTAAAAGTTTACAAGTTTTTTTTTTCTCATTTTTTCTCAGCTTGGTTACATTTTTATTGGAACTCTAATATATGATTGCTGTATTTTATGTGCTTTTTCATTCACTTCTAGGCTGGATTTTTCAAGAGTAAATACAAACAGATGATAATTGAAATGACAGAAGATGATCCAGGGACGGCTGCAGGTGCACCCTCAGCAGAGTAACAAAGATGACAGTTGTAGCTGTACATCTAATCTGAATGACAGATGTAGACCATCCTGATAATTTCAGGGGTGAACATGGTGTGTAGAAATGTCCATGCTACCACATTTGATTAATTAAATAGACAACAGCTTGCTGTGTCTCAAGTCACTCCCTTGCCTAGTCATTTGCTATGATCTGTAACAAAGGTTCCTACCTGGTCGTCAGGATCCTCAAGACTCGGGACCATAAAACTGGAGCACCTATTGTAAATAAGAAACCACCACTAGATATTTGTCTTAAGAGGATATATTTATGTAGATTTTCAAGCCTGTAAGTCCAGCAAGAAATATTGGGCCTTTAAAATCAAATCTAACCTTTATTTTAATGGTCTGTGTATTTTATTTATATCTTTGTTATTAGTTAATTAATGAGCTGACAATGAAATGTCTTTCCACATCTAAATGAATCCAGTGTACTGGATAAGATGTCATCTCAGACATAAAGCAGTATTCATTTTATATCATGCAAAACAAAGAGGAGCAGATTCTTTAGCAGCCTGGACTTCAAGATGTGGAAAAAGACAATCTCCTTTTTCCAGCTTTACCCTACTTAAAGCACTACCTGTCCTCGCCGGTGTCTACTTTCACAGTATTAGTTAACTCTTTGAAATCTTCTATGTATCTCCATGATTTTGACTGTAAACATAATGTAACTTTATGTAATTTCTAAAGACTGGTAAGTAAAACAGAACTATGACACTCTGGCATGTATTTTTAGCACTATTTCAATATTTAGTGAGAGGGCAAAAGCAGATAAAACTTTAGAGGTAAAAATGAAAGACAGGTTTTTCCAGTCAGTGTGATGTAAGAGTGTTCCCTGCTTTGATTTGTAGGGAAACTTATTAATTAATCAGAAATGTAAAGAAATACAAATGTTTAAAAGTAACATGACCGTGTGACCTTTGAATACGAGAGTGACTATTTAAAACAATGACTTTTTAATCTGACCTCAAACTTGTTTATTGTATGTATGTATCTGTCTGTATCGGATGAGGATTTTGTCATCATTTCAAATCCAAGACTATATTTTTTAGCTCTTTCATCAGAAATGTTGGTAGCATTTTAAGGATGAAAGACTCCACTTTCTCTACAACAAGACAGTTCATAATGTTTTAACGGTGCGTTCACACCGAACGCAATAGACGCGACCAAAAAGCGCCATACGCCCCTAGCTGGTCGCGTGCACATTCGCACCTCGAAGCGGGTCCAAAGCGAACTAGTGGCGCTTTAAAATGTGCAATTTTCACGCCTGTGAAGCGGAAATGTGGGAGGAAGTAGTGCCAGACGGTATGTTTGCAAGATGGCAGCTGTCGATCTAGCATTTGAAGAGAGCGTCTCTAGAGCAGCAGTGT